GAGTGGTACCTATTTATCTACTTGCACTTTGACGTGCTTCCGAACTGCTAGGTTGGCAGGAGCAGGGACTGAGCATCGGGAGCTCACCCCATTGCAAGGATTCGAACCGCCGACCTTCTGATTGGCAAGTCCTAGGCTCTGTGGTTTTAACCCACAGCGCCACCTGTGTCCCTTTCCAACTCTACAATCTCCTTTTTGAGGGGAGGCGACCAGAACAGCACACAGTATTCCATATGCAGTCGCTTGTTAGAAATACGGCAGGAAATGCAGAAAAAACCAGTGCTGAATTGGGAACCAAGTCAAGAACTATTAATTTGCTTGGAAGGAAATGTTTCACAGCAGTTTGGTCATCGGACTCACTCTTTACCCCATCGTTTCTGGTTTGGGCTCTTCTGAACATTGCCTTGGTGTGGTGGACCAAGGTTTTGCTGCACTTTTGCATTATTCTCACTCTCCTGAAATAATTTAAAGTCTAGAATAGTTTAGGTGTGATCCAGCCAGAAACTGTCTTGTAAATCCCATGCTATATACACTCACTAGTCCTTTGGACTTGATAAAGTTTGCACATTGTAATTAGATTCCAGTTGCACGACCTTCTAGCATGGCTGCTATTATTATTTATACTGGTGTAACCTTTTGCATTTGACCCCACCCCTTCAGGTATGCAGAGTCCCTGGTTCATTTGTCCTTAATTTGCTTACTCATATATCCATCAAGGTCAGCTCTCTCTTTCTCACACGCACACCTTGCTAGCCCGTGACGAAGAAACTGAAAACAGCAAAATAATAACAGATTAAAGCAAGCCAGCCCATTCTGTCCTCCCAGACCAATCAGTTTGTCAGTTCATGCAGTCTCACTATTGTCAGGAAGAGCTTTGTTCGTGTCCTGAGATCTTCAGCTCAATCTTCCATCTCTCCAGTTCAAAAAGCTAATAATAATAATAATAATAATAATAATAATAATAATAATAATAATTTCTATTCTGCTCTGCTAGAAACCTTCCCAGAGCAGCACACAGCATAATAAAACCATATAAAAAGAATGATTTTCATGCAGGCATAGTTAACCTGTGGAACTCACGCCCACAGGGATGCAGTGATGGCCACCAACTTGGACGGCTTTAAAAAGGGGTTGGACAAATTCATGGAGGAGGAGAGGGCTAATCGATGGCTACTAACCATGATGGGCATGCTTCACCTCCAACTGTCAGAGGCAAGGAAGTGCTTCTGAATTCTAGTTTCTGGGAGCCACAGGAGGGGAGAGTGGACTTGTGCTTGAATCCTGCCTGCTTGAGGCATGCTGTTGTGGCTATCTCAGAGAACAGGATGCTGGTCCACTGCCTGCTCCAAAAAGGCTCTTCCTAAGTCTTAATAATAATCTCTGTACAGTGGTACCTCGGGTTAAGTACTTAAGTCGTTCCGGAGGTCCGTTCTTACCTGAAACTGTTCTTAACCTGAAGCAGCCACTTTAGCTAGTGGGGCCTCCTGCTGCGCCACGTACCGGCTGGAGCACAATTTCTGTTCTCATCCTGAAGCAAAGTTCTTAACCTGAGGTACTATTTCTGGGTTAGCGGAGTCTGTAACCTGAAGCATATGTAACCCGAAGGTACCACTGTACAGCTAATATTTTAGATCCTGGACTTTAGATCCATAGTTTTATGTGGGTGGCCCTCTTCCGATGGTCAGGAGTATTTTACCTGTATTTTCAATTTTGGGTATAGAGGTGTTTTTCCCTCCCATTTCCATGTAAGGTAAGCTGCCCTGGGATTTTCTCCTTGAGAGGTGGTTGCCGACAATTCTGTGATAACTAAATAGCAAACCAGTAAAGTTTACTCTCTTCCTCTGTTTTGAAGACTAGTTCCTTAAGCAACGAGCCACTTCCCGACTCTCCGTCATGGATGTGAAGTATGAAGGAAAAACCTCAGCAAATGGGTTCACAGCTGTCGCAGAAACAACCCAGCCAGGTTTAACTTGGGGATTATGCAGTGTGAAGAAAAGAGGCATGTTTCTTCAGAAAGTTGTCTGCTATGGGGGGGGGGGGGGGGTAAGTGCCCTTGCAGCTCCAAAAGGAGGCTTGCCACTTCCTTGAATGGTGTGGGAGAGTGGCACATTTGCCAGGGCAAATTAACACTATGGAAATCTCAATGGGCCTCATCCATGGGGCTTTATGTAGTTACTCTGACATCCTCTGCTCTAATTAGTTGTGATTCCAGGAATGAAGAGGGTTGGGACTTCATGACTCTCTGGGTCCCTTGCAGCTCTACAATTCTGCGATTCATTCGCTGATTTATTTAGACAATTTATATACAGTGGTACATGTATGGAAGTGAGAGCTGGACCATAAAGAAGGCTGATTGCCAAAGAATTGATGCTTTTGAATTATGGTGCTGGAGGAGACTCTTGAGAGTCCCATGGACTGCAAGAAGATCAAACCTCTCATTCTGAAGGAAATCAGCCTCTGAGTGCTCACTGGAAGGTCAGATCCTGAAGCTGAGGCTCCAAGACTTTGGCCACCTCATGAGAAGAGAAGACTCCCTGGAAAAGACGCTGATGTTGGGAAAGATTGAGGCCACCAGAAGAAGGGATGACAGAGGACGAGATGGTTGGATAGTGTTCTCGAAGCTACCAGCATGAGTTTGACCAAACTGCAGGAGGCAGTGGAAGACAGGAGTGCCTATTGTGCTCTGGTCCATGGGGTCATAAAGAGTCGGACATGACTAAACGACTAAACAACAACAACACCTGTCAGGTGTTCAGCCTACACTCAAGTATACACCTGACTGGCATGTTCTCTGCTTCCTGGTTGATCATTCGGGAGCTTCAAAAGCTTTCTTCAGCCCGAACATCACAGCGACCGATGCCAACCGACACCGGCACACTTAGGGGTCCGCAGAGTTTGCGCACCTTGCGTGACAGACCTCAGCAACTCAGCATTTTGGCTAATCTACTTTATTTACATATAAACACAGACGGAGCACTGCAACATGGCTCCCTCTCTCTATAGCATCAGGCAGCAAGGAGAAAAAGACAAAGGACAATAGTCCCACTTCACGGAACAGAGTAACACAAACATCCTGTCTCTGTCACTTCCCACTCTGTGGAGTGAAAACATATACCGTCATGTGAAAGATAACAATCCTATGACTGCAATCATGGGGCAGGAATTCTAACGGTACCTTGGTTCTCAAACCAAATCCATTCCAGGAATCTGTTCGACTCCCAAAACCATTTGAAAACCAAGGTGCGGTTTCCAATTGGCTGCTGGAGCTTCCTGCACTCAATCGGAAGCCGCGCCAGACATTTGGCTTCCAAAAAACACTTACTTCTGGGTTTGCAGAGTACCACTTAGCTATGGCTCCGCTGCCACGGGCCGCTGATCGAGTTGGAGTCCAGCAGGCGCGGCGTACATGGCGTGCTTTGTAGCTAGTGTTATTCGATATGTAGAAATAGTACGTCATGGCGAGTGACGATGCCGAGACGCGAGCGGCGGAAGCAAGATGCGGTTCGCTGAGAGTAGACGCTTTGTTGACGAGTGGACGACCTGGGGGCAGTCGAGGAAACCCAATTATACTGGTCTCAGTCACATAGGAAGGGCAGAACATTCGTGAGGCTAAACGGTGGAT